GTACAGTTTACAATATTTGTGAAGCAAATCGTGAGTGCAGTGCAAGGTTCCGTCAATTGTCGAGAATAAGTAACACATCTGTCGGGATCGACATTTTAATAGGGCGGGATGTTTAGAAGGTGCTGAACAGAGTCTGAAATTTGTATGTGCACAAAAGGCTGCAAAACATGCAAGAACAGTAATTATCACAAACTTTAAAACATAACTTCAAAATGTTTGATGCAGTACGGAATAATGAACATACAACATCTATTACACCGCAAATCTCTAAAGAACGTGTGATACGTGAGGGTTTGAACACGTGGTCCGGTTATGACCAACTCCACCACAGCGAGTACATTTCCTGTTAGACCATGCATACTCGTACCTAGAATACTTACGTCGGGTTGGTGGTCTACCTGGAGGACGACGTACGAGTGGCGGCAAAATAGGAGTACATTTAATTAAGCTCGGAGCAACCCAATCCACTTCCCTCTGAACAGGATATACAGCTTCGTTGTAAGCAGCCCTCCAGTATTCCGATGTGTAATAAGGGGAGCAAAGCTCGTATATAGACTTCCCTCTAAAGCAAGCAGCATGACTTGCATGAACACATGGCATATGGTTTAGTTGGAACTCACGACATGTGCAGGTATCTTCGGACAAGTCAACTATGTCTGTGTCATTGAATATTTCAACCTGCGTTAAGTTGTTTGTCAGGACATGGGCTCGAAGCCTAGTTCCATTTTCGAACATCGTCCATAACTTGTTCTCCATCCTCGGCGTCAATAAGGTACTGCATTCTTCCGCATTTGTTCGACGTTCGCAAAATCACTTCTGCATAGTACTCCGAATGTGTTAAACCAAGCAGGTTATCGGTAACGACTGGGCTTCTCTCAACGTCGAGTTCAAAGACTCTGCGTTGTTGTTTGTCATAATGTTGTAACGGTGTCCAATAAATAGTGCTCTGGACCAAAATGAATAACCCGCTCGCTCTAAGTACCCGTGCGCTCTTTCGCTCACTCTATGAATCTGTCCCATGAGTCGTTCAAAGTCCTCGACCCGAAAAGTTGTAGCAACTCATTTGAATAGAAATATTAGACTTGCATTGTTGTACCGCTGTATTAGGTTCTTTTCCATATGCCATATACAACGACCATGGTAAGACAACGGAAACAACCGAGTAATCGCTTTCTTAATACTCTTTTTCCTGTCCAAAACAAACACAAGTTCTTCAGAGTCCCCTATAAGGTCTTTCAATTTTGACATAAACCACTTCCAGGATTTACTGGTTTTAGCATCCACGATCCCCCATGCCAACAAATAAATCTGTTTATTACCATCTTGGACAGTTGCCACTAGAAGTGTACATTTGTATGGACCCTTCAAGTGACTGTCATCAACATAAATAACGGGTCTCAAGTACTGCATATAACCACGAATGCTTGCACCAAAAGCTACGAAGAAGTAATGAAACATATGAAGAGAATCAACTTTGATGTGGGTTACGGTCCCCGGGTTACTCTCTCCTACGACGTGACAGTACGAAGATAATTTCTGAAAACTGTCCCCCGGTGTACCATGTAGCATATTTAAGGCATGGAGCTTCCCCTTACGTGCTTTGTTATAACTAATTTTCACACCAAACTCATATCACGTGCAATATCAGTAGGACGATACGATCGATATGGAGTATACAATTTTTCCAAAAATGTGCTCCGCAATTACAGAACTAGTGGCACGCCAATGTGCGTTACGACGAAAATCAAGGGAACATGTGTGAACTGTAATGAATTTTCGGATCATGAAGATTGCAGATTGCTTGACAGTAGAAGCACATAACATCCACTTGCAATTATCGTCCACACAGACCCAAAATTGGAACTTCTTTTGCAAAGCAAGTACACGAAGCTTCGAGTACAACTGTTTCTTGCTAAAGAATATTTGCTTCTCGGCGAGAACGAATGTATTTGCAGCTGTAATCCACTCATCTGTGCACAAAGTTCTAGAATTTGTGACATTGTCTCGTCAATTTCAATAATAATAGCACCATCTGTACCATGTAATAGGTTGTCTGAGTGCTCATCGGATGTTGTAGCCTCTATACGATCAATTGGAGGTTCGGCTGCTTGGGTGTGTGACATACTGTGTTGATGATTGATCTTGTCATGTTGTACGTTCTGCGGACATTCCGTTGGGCCAAACAAGTTCCCTGCACAGTTTGCATCCGTTGCCATATCAACACTCGAGAGCTCGGTATCCAAAAAAGTGACGCAGAGTGCAGTTTCCTTATGAACAGATATGTACCACTGTAGGTCCTCATCATCGCGTATCTCTGTCGAAGGTATATTCAAGTTCGGGATTTTGAACTTTAATTCAATTTCATTGCGGGATTCAACAATACCAAGTTTGTCCTTCAACCGTAACACAAGTTCTGCTATGGTAATACTTCTCGACCCTAAAATGGAAGTGGTTTTGTCCCCTCTCCACTTCCATTCATCATCCAAGTGAACAAAGTTTCCTTCATGCGACACGATGAATCTCAAATCATGAGTCATACCTAAAATGTTGGGATTGCAAAAGTGAGAATTCTGCACATTCATATGTCGACATTTTATAACATCAAATTGGCACATGAGAATACTTACATCCTTGTAATACCAAAGATATAAAATGTTAACAGTTTTCAGGTGTCGAAATCGACAATTAAATTTTCTATCTCGACAGTCACTAAATGTCGAGTTCGACAGTTAAAATGTCTAACCCGATAATTTTGAAGATAGCGCTTGACAGTTCAACTAACATAACTTTCAGGGAAGATAAATATCATGTGTTTCACTGTTTGAAGATTTTATTGAAAACATTAAAGGCCATAATCAATTCTCAACTACAATATCACTGTATCTTTCTACAAATGAAGAAGGTATCACTCGATGCTTCATTAAATGTGGAATTAAATATGGAATCCTTCACATTTTCTAAAGAATCTTGATATTTATTTTTCTTTTTAAAATATACCAAAAATAAAACACATCAATGAATAAGAGATTGAAAATGGTCATTTAAATATGATCTTGTTGTATTGAACATTTAAAGTAGTCAAGTATGACATGAGAAGAGTTTTTTTCTACTAGTTCACTTTTGAAATTGATCAATGGCTTTTCTTGTTTCCTTGTTGATGATGGAGTGGAGATGATGAAGAAGAAGAATCTCTTTCAATTTGTATGTGTGTGTGTATTTTGTAAAGATTTCACCCCTTTTTAATCAAAAAAATCATATTATACAATATAATATTGATATCTTCAATGTTAAAATTAAAGAAAATAATTAATCACATCATACCATTAATTGCATTCAAATCGAGCATTTATTGCTGCAAAAAGGTGTTCAAGGATAAAGTGGACATTTTGTAGTGAAAAACTGACATTTTTGGAAGAAATTGGTGTAAGTCAAAAAAAATTTTGTATTTTCAATTTTAGTGACATTTGTGTAAATTCCCCTAAAACCTAATAGCTAATGGGCCAATTTTCAACTCCATATTAACCACTAAATGGTCCAACTAATCAAATAATAATCTAACCCAAACCCGAGCCATCCAAAAGTGTAGTTCGTCTCCGAGCCGAGCCAAGTCCATGGTGTCGATAAATAATCTGACAACTATTTTAAATTATCTCCCGAAATTATTGGGTATCAAAAAATCCAACACTGGCAATGCAAGGTATCAATTCGGGAAGACCTCCACTGGCTACACCACCACCTTCCAGCTGATTGAGATTCGACATGGAAATAAAACTCATTATTCGAGAAAACACACTTTGACAAAAGAAAAGAAATGCTCTCTGCTCTCTGAATTGGCGACTGTGATACCTGGTCTCTTCTATTTATTAGCAGAGAATAGTCATTCCAGTAGAAAATCAAATATTTACAAAATAATCCTTGGACGTGTTTCCAGAGTCCCTTCAGTGATTTGGAATGTACATTTGTTGCAGAAAAGGAATTTAGGAGTTGATGATAAAGCAAAATTGGAAAAAGGAGTGAGACGCTACAAGTCGGCTATTTCAGGTTTGAGGTGGAAATAGATCATTCTTCCAGAACCAACAATGTTCGTTGAAGTTTCTGAAAAGTCTCTGACCAGCCTCTGGTATGCTTAACATTGTATGGTTAATTGAACTACAGCTCCATCTGATGCTCAGATTTTTAGAAATGAGCTATAATATAATCCATACCTTTCTCCCGGCGGGTTGTTGTAATGAATGTGTTATATCGGCCACCTGAAACATGGTTTTTCAAATTAATGAAATCTTACAAAAATCTTATGATACTGGTTCCTGTAAACCATGAGTATATATCCGTTTATTTGTAGAGATGAGAGTTAAAAAGGTTGGGATAGGTGATCATGTATAAAGATGAATAAGTATTGGGTAACCCGTTAAACTTCAATGAGTAAGTAATAACAATTTTAAAGTTTAGTTAGCATTCATTAAATTTAATCTTTGACAATTACACCATACTTTTCAGTAATCAAAAAAATTAATAATTAAAGAATACCTTGAGCCGGTCGAATAGCAATGTCGATGAATCCATATCTGCAGTAAGCAGTGAAAATGATCTCCGGTTACGTACAGTTAAAAAGTTACTGTTGCATGCCGGGTTTTGCAATTTTAACGTAGAAGTGGGAACTAGAACCCAAATTAATATGAATAGCACCAGGTGGACTCGGCAAACGATAATTTAGTGTAGTGTTTTCACCTGAACAAGAAGACAAATAAGAGGAATTTGGTGCCTAAATTACCTTTCGTTATGGCATTGTTTGTATATATAATTACTGAGGCTATGTTTGAACCACATTTTTTTTAAAAAAAAAAAAATACATTTTTAAATAGTGATTTGACTTTATTTTAACAATACATTCTTCAGTAAAATAATATTATACGCAAATTCAAAACTTTTCTTTATTTTTTAGCCACACATTTCTCATCAATACAATATTCAAAAATGCATTCTTAAAAATATAATGCGGCTCAAACAAGGGCTGAATATATTGTCCATCAGAGTATCCAGGATAATGGTTTATATTCGAAAGAACTATTTGGTTCATGGAATGAACTCGGCATATAATGAAACTGTATATGTGCAAAGGCCGTAATCAAATTTACAACCAAATGCATTACACGTCGACTATTTCAATAAAAACTAAAGTCCGAAACATTTAGAACGCCATGTGATGAGGTCTATACATACACCTCTTGAAACTTAACAGGCACAAGCTTAAGTCCCAAACATCCACTTGAACACTCGTTCAAGGGCTCGCTCTTAGTGACCTCCCGGGTTGCGGTTCCATGACAAATAAGATGGGTCTCCAAGTTGCCTGAATAAAGAAATCATATCAATGACAGGTTCATGCTAGTTTAATTTAACATATATTGGGAATTGCAGAATAAGAAAGGTCCCAGCAAAGGCTCAGTCTAGAACGGAAACACATACTCTGTGTGCTCATTCAAAAAGATTACACTCAGAAGTACTGGAGGATCCTCCAACATTACAGTTAGTTTGGATAACCTAGCATGTCATTGGAACACGTGGTGGCATGGGAGACCAAATTATAGTTCTCGACTAACAATGGTGAAGGCTTTTTCCCAAAAAAGATACTTCCACAAAAATACTATAAGCTAAGAAAACAATGGAGGCAATAAACCGTACCTTGGCTTAACTAGATAGATAATTGTGAAAACCATTGCGAGAAAGAAGCACAATCCACCCACAACAAGGTATGCAATACCAAGAAAGTCATTCTTCCCTCCAAGCCAGCTGGTGGTAGAAAGGACAAGTTTCTTCTTGCCATCGAAACTATAGGTGTTATAATTATTTTGCAATTCCACGTTAATGACATCACCAGCCTCAAGATCCACCTCTATTTTCCCGTACAGTTTTCTAAAAGTTGGAAGCGCTGCAGTTCGCATCCAAACAATAAGGTCCTCCTGCTCGCTCAACTGTTAAGTGATAAAATATTAGTATCTGATGAAATTAGCCTAGTCCGGAAAGCAAATCAATAGAAATAAAGACAGAAAATTTTATACACATCAATTATCCTAGCCATGTTACATTAATAACAAACTTAAGCATGATTTTGAGTCGTGTCGTCAGGGATAAGTTTGCAATACCACTCAGGATGAGTGTATCAGTACAAGCAGCAAGCATATGAACTGCCAAAGCAACAAATTGAGCCCTTGTTTGATTCTCATTTTTCTAAAAATTCATTTTTTCAAAACTCATATTCAACCACACATTATTCAATAAAATAATATTACACGCAAATTCAAAACTTTTCTTTAATTTTTAACCACATATTCTCCATCAATCTTTCAAAATGCATTATTTCCCCCAAAACGGGGATCAAACAAGGGCTGAATATCCACTATCCAACTCACTTTTCATCTTTACAGAAGATCCCCAAAAAGAAATCAGATAGCAAGTCCTTAACAGTGGAAGTGTCTTAGTTTTCTGTTTATTATGATCTTTTAACTTAAATTGTGTTCAAAAATGAAAAATTGAAGCATGTCCAACCACACAAAAAACTACGATGCTATGGTAAGAAAATTATTTACATATTTTCACAGTAACATAGTTACAAATCATTTTCATATTGTGAATAACATTGTTAAATGTTAAATAAATAAACAATTATACCATTATCCTTAGCCGATAAACTCATTTCAATAAATCATGACCAAGGGTAAATATCATGCATGAGAGAGGTGATTAATTATATATGATTAAGTATGACTGAACGCTTACTGATTTATTTGGATCGAGGGTTTTTCCACCGACTAGAGTATTATTCTGAAAATTCCTTGGGTAGACATTTTTGCCAAATTTGTGATCTCTATCACTCTTCCACGAGATCTCTCTCTTGTTTATGGTCATCGGCTGGTTGTTGCGAGTGAAGTCATAAGTATCATTGAAAAGGCTCCAGGCTATAAGACCGCATGGCACAATTGGCATCCCGTGGGCAGTATCTTCAGGCTTACAGGCACTTGTGTCATCCGCATCTCTTGAATTTCTCAATTGCTGATCACTTCGGCTCCTCACATACCTGGGATGGGCATAGATATCAGCCACATAATTTGAAAAATAAAAAAGAATAACGAATTAATAAATTCATTATGATTTCCTAACAAATCGCAAAAGATTTCTAATGGACAACTATCACAAGATACAAGAAGAAAAAATAAAAGAGTTCGATATCTATAACAAAAACAAGGAATCACTAACACTCATCCACAAAGGTAGAAATTCAATATAATCACCAAAGAAACAGTTAAATATTTTATTTTCCAATTTAGTGCTCAAAATATAGAAACATTAAAAGTACCTGCGGTGATTCTGGTAGAAATTGTCAAGCTGATAATATACATAAATGGGCTGTTCCATGCGTTTTGGAACCTGGTATGATTAATCAATAGTTATCAAATATTAGATTTTAAAATTATACTAAAACATTAATATAAAATGCAATTGCCACGACAAAACTCATAAACCGTCGAATGGAAACTCACCCTCAGAATTCTACTGCAGTTTTTATCTCGAGAGCTTTGTATAAATCCAACTTTATCACTCCTTGAATCTAAAGGAATGCAATCAGTTTCATACCGATCAATAATTTCAACAACCTGATGAAAAGAAATCACTTTAATGAGTGAAGCACACCAAAAAAATAAAAAGAAAAAAAAAGAACAGCTACAAAATTCAGAGCATACATCCCGGGAAGCAAATAGGGAGACAACTCCAATGGGAATAAAGATGACACTAACAAGCAAGAAAGCTGAAATCACCTGCACATAAAAAAGTGAGAGGGTATAAATCCATAGGTAAAATAGATCCCCGTAATGTGGTGAATTAATAAGGCACCAGTAGTATGTAGAAACAGTTTATAGTATCTACCCATTTAGGTGTTAGAATAGGCTTGCATGCTGGAAGTTCTTGTTGTGTAAACCTTGAATCTGAAGAAATAATGAAAACAAAAAAATACTTTAATCAATCACAAACCAAATTCTGATCAAAACGCATACAAATTATTGCTTCACAATACATTCTGAAGATGAAAAAAGGTATTGAATTGATATTCCAGTATTTTACTCACTAATGCAACCTCCAAACGAAATTGAAAGCCCAAGCAGTCTGTTCTGCATTGTTTCCACATAGTAGTAGGTTTTAGTAAGTCAAACTGTTGTTTTTTTTCATTTTGAAAATGCCCCTAAGAAATAGGTAATTGCATCCTATGGATGATACTTGTAATGGGTTGGTAAGCATCATTGTCCTTTCTAAAACTTTTAAGCCCCTCTAAGGGTGACATGCAAGCAGGAGGGAAGGGTTTTTCATAGCTAAAAACAAGAGTCTGTTCTGCATTGTTTCCACATAGTAGTAGGTTTTACTACGTCAAACTGTTGTTTTTTTTCATTTTGAAAATGCCCCTAAGAAATAGGTAATTGCATCCTATGGATGATACTTGTAATGGGTTGGTAAGCATCACTGTCCTTTCTAAAACTTTTAAGCCCCTCTAGGGGTGACATGCAAGCAGGAGGGAAGGGTTTTTCATAGCTAAAAACAAGTATACTCCATGAAAATTCCAAAACAATGTCGGCAAATATAACTTGATATCACCGAGAGTTGCACACAATCTTTGTCATAGACAACAAAACAATAGGAGAAGTGCATCATGGCCTGCAGCTGATTTGATTAGGCAATCTTTATATGGTTCATATGCACTTATACCTTAATTAACCATCCGTTCACCTCAAGTCTTTAACTACATCACTGGCTCTATCAATATTTCTTTGATACCAAACTCAGTAAAAAGAAGTATGATATGTTACACAACATTGGATGAAAGGAAAGTATTGGCCAGTGCATTCACTGTGAATCCTTTGAGAATTCCCCTCCCCAAGCCTTATTGAATTTTAATCCTTGCTAATTCTGAAATGTGAGCTTCAAGAACCAAACCTATTGAACTACTCAGACCCCGAAACACTGGAATTAGGCTTGGATGATCCTTTGAAAACAAGCCTAAAGAGCATACAGTTGGGGCGCTATTGTAATTTACTATTTCAAAACCTCTTGTAGGCAAATCAGTTTGCCAATTAAAATTCGTATTAATAATCGATTTAGTCCAAGATGCATTGCGTTGACAAAAATGCTTTGTATTCTAAAATCCAAGCCTTAATTTATGCCTTCAATGGAAACCCATATAGATATAATCCGACTTAACTCAAGTTTACTACCGTTGGCGGCAAAATGCCTATAAAAATTGGAGAAAATTTATGCAGCCAAGAATGTTTGGCAAGCGTTAATAAACATGATAAAAGTCAAACCTCTTTTATCAACATATTTCTTGGAATCCACGAATACTGCCCACTTATCCGCCAAATATATGCTTAATTATTGTGCAGGTACCCTTTGTAATTACATAAAATAACATGCTTAGTGCACTTTCCAGCCACATACAAATTAACAAGGATTCAAAGACAAAACCCCACCCTTAAACCCAGTTAAATTTTCAAGACAATTGTTTGTGTACTACCTATCAATTTACAATTTAAATTACATTCAATAAAAATAAGAATAATCAAGATACGAAAACAGGATTTCGTAGGAAGAGAAAAATACATTTGGGTCGCTTGGAATTCCTTCTGGGCGCTGTTGGATCGGCTGATCCAGGTCCTCCGGCACTCGTTGACGGAGTATTCGAGTTCATTACTTCAGCCATATTTTCCCCTTCTTTGCGAAAATTATCGTGAAAAACTAATGATAGATCAATTAGAAATATGGAAATTAATAAATAAAAAGGCTCTGAATCTGAACGAGATCAAATTTTGGAATTTATACTTTTTATAAGCAATCGAGAGAGAAGGGAATTATGAGGGTTTGGTATATATATCTCAAGCTCTTTCTTCTTCTTGGACTTTGAAATCTCTTCCCGATAATTCTCTATTATTAGGGAGGCAGTCCACACGCCAATCTTCCGTCTCTAGAAGTCAAAATAGTACTGCAGAGATTAGAGATTGAAGATTGGACACGGTAAAACCGCGTCGTCCACCCAGTTCGTGGAAAAGAAGGGGAAAAGTTAATTAGGGTGTGTTTGATTCATGCTTCATGGAAAATAAAAATAATTAGCCTTGTTTGAGCCTAGAAGAGAAAATGAATTTTTGAATAGTGTATTGATATGAAATATATGGTTAAAAAATAAGGAAAAAATTTTGATTTGCGTGTGATATTATTTTATTGAAGAATGTGTGGTCAAAATGATGTCAAATCACTATTGAAGAATGAATTTTGATGGAAAAAATGGGGCTCAAGTAAGGGCTTAGATTTTTTTCGATTGAAAAATCAAAAGTTAAAATTAGAAAATTGAAATGTCAATGGGTAGAAGAATAATAACAGGAGAAGTGCAACAAACTTTAAGCATAATTTCATGTTAGTCACTTAAATTTTTGGGAAAATAGCAAAAGAGGTCTCTAAACGTCTGTGCTTGTTTCATCTTGGTACTCATTCTTCAAAATGGAGTATTGAAGTCCTCAAACTTTCATTTTAGTTACTATTTGGTCCTTATTGGACTACTTTACCCTTTTTTCAAAGTTAACACACTCAAAAATTTATGATAAGGACAAGTTTACCCTTGATTTCAAAAGAGAAAATAAAATGAAAAAAAAAGTAAAGAAAAGGAAATCTTACACATCTTTTTAGCCCTTATTTGACTATCGTTTATAGATTATTTATAATCGGTTAAATTACTTTTTATACGCATATTTGTGGGATTCAAATGTACTAACATACTTATCCACGGAGATCGTGTAAATTTGTCAAATGGCATATAAGTGCTGTGAAAATAAAAGATAGGGATGTATATACCACATTTTGTAGATTGAGGACCAATGTGCAGTACATGTCAAGGGTTGGGGACTTTAGCCGCCATTTTCCCAAAAGAAAAATTCAAAACTCATAAATGCGTGTATGAGACTTCTCCAATATTGAAAATTAGGATGGGCTCCCAACTTTTCTAATAGCGTGTATTTATTTAGAACTTGGGCCCCGTTTGATTACACGAAATTTTTCATGGAACTTGGAATTCGAATTCCAACTTCTACTTTTGGCCTGTTTGATTGATAAAATTTTCCAGGGAATTGATTTTCCATGAATTTCTAGGTACAACACCTTAAAGCGTGATTTTCCACCTTTTTTTTTCCTAGGGGATAGGTGGTTTTTGGTTTTCCACCTTATTTTTATTTTTATTTTTTGCTTTTTTTATTTTTTTTTTAATTGTTGGCAATGGGAACAAATTTTAGGAATAATTGTAAAAGAGGATATCCCTGAAATTGACAATTTCCACGTAAAACAAAGTCAAACGAACATCAAAAAATATTTTTATTTCAACATTTTCCACGTGAAAAATTTATACAATCAAACAGAATCATTTACAATTTCCATGAAAACAATTTCTAGGTAATTCAATTCCCTGAAATTCATTTTCTTTCCATGTAATTTTCCTACTTGTAATCAAACGCACCCTTAGAAGTAAGGTTTCAATTCATCAATCTATTTAAATTTTTAAACCTAAGTCCCTATGTATTTAACTCAATAAATAAGCCCCTATTTGTTTCCCATTTTTCCTCTACTTTCAAAAGAAATAGAGCTGTTTTGGGCTCACTTGACATGATTTCTTTTACTTGCATTTCATATTTGACTTATAAAAGTGTGCACAACGATTGAAAAACTCATTTTCATTTTGAAAAAATATGCAGCAAGCACGGGCTAAATATCAAATTCATATACGACTTTCACGTGAAATGAAGTTATACCCAAATTGGTTTGATAATTTTGTCCTCTAAATTCAAATCACGTGAAAACCGCTTGCAACTTTCATATTTTACAATGCGAACTCCCAGTTCTTAACACAGAAGTCATGTAAACATGACTTTACAAGTTGAAAGGCATGAAGACTAGTGGCCAAGATGAAAGGAACTTAAAACTTCAGTATGAGTTTTGAGGGAAAAAAATTGAGTGACTAAAATAAAATTCCATCTAAAGTGGGAGGCCTATAATGTTTTACGTTTCAATTGTAAGTTTAACACACGTTGCACGACCATAACTAGTAGTGAACGAAGAAGTCGCCCACCCATCAAATTAGATTGAAACCGTGAAAATTTTTAATCAACCCTATTTTTTATAGTTCCTTGTATGTCCTTGTCGACGTGTGGGTTAATGACTTATACCCATGCGATTGCATAGGATGTCCCATGCCAACGCATGGCAAGAGGGAAAAAAAACCTCGGTTTCTGCAGGTAAAGCCCATGTGCTCTTATGCCCATTCATCCACGGGAAAAAAACCATATTTACCTATCAATTTAAAAACATTATGTCATATACTACATGAATATTTTTATAACATATATATTAAAAGTTACAGAAAATATTACTAGAAATACTTTTTTTTTTTTTTAAATCTCTCAACTACACATCTTGTAAACCGAAAAAATAAATGTGAGCTCATAATTTGCGTGCATTAATTACCACTTCAAGAAAGGTTATGCAAATTCAAATTCGCCACTTTAAATATCCCATGTTGTATTTCGTCCAAATGGCAACATTATGTGAAATCTTGATTTGACGTGAAAGACAACGTTAGCACATTAAAAATAAAACTCGGCTCACATCAAATATAAATGACAAGCTCGAAATATTGGAAACTTATTAGTTACCGAGTCCAATTACAGTTGAATCGAAAACCACGTCCTAATCCAAACGATAGTTGAGCAAACCAACCAACCACTTGATTTGCAGTTGTGACATAGTTCAAAATTCCAACCTCTTGAATTTCAAGTGAAAATATGACCCCCATTTATGATAATATTGCTGTAAAATAACTGCTTTTTTTTAGTATGTCTGCGTATCTGTCGATCATATAGTACTCTAAAAAAATCCCCCATTTGTCCTAGGAAAAATATTGCTGTGAAAAATCTGAAGGCGTCTTCTATCATTTAATAAAATATTTCAAACTATCATGAGGTTGTGGTTGTGTGTGATGTGAGCTATAAGATCAAATACATCATAATTAATTCAATTGACTCGATTTTATCAATTAACAACGTGATTCAGGCACATGTATGATGTTACTGTTGAAAAAAATTGAGTGAGCAGCTCACTTTTGGCACAATTTTCGATGGGACCCATTGGTTCAATGTGGAATATCAAAATTGATATGTGTTCTCCTCCGCGAGAACATCGATTTCATGTATTTATTTGCCAAAAATGAAGCTCCGGTGAATAAGAAATTGAAACTCAAAGTTGGTCATTGGAAGTTGATTTTGTGGGAAAAAATGCATTTATCCCATATAGAAAAATCAAGGAAACTTAAACCACTTTATATATGGCTATGCTTTGGAGATGTGTAATCATGTGTAATATAGAAGCTCTCTCCACGTGCGTGCGCGGGGGGTTGCAAATCACAAATCGAAATGGTCTTCGAACCTTGAACTTGGATGCGGGCGCGACCTGCGCACACGAATGTCGGACCGAACAAGGCAAAAATGGCCCCCATCGGTGAGCCCATGTTTTGCCATTTTTTTTTTTTTTTGGCTTTCTCCAATAACTTTTAAATTTTTAAATTGAAAAAACTTCAATAGACTCCCAATGGTCACAGTGTTAATAGGAAATAACTCTAATGGACTCCCAATGGTCACAATATTAATGGGCAGATGCCTATAAAAATGCTCATTCTCCAACAATCTAACACACTCGAAAATCTCACCTACATTCCTGCATACACAGTTTCTTCTTTTTTGCATTCCTTGTCCAATAAGGTCTTGTTCTTGTGGTGATATTGTTCGGATATTAGATCAGTTCGCCGGAGTAGAACCGCGGTGCTTGGATTCTGTTTATTACCGTTGTATCTTGGGAGACAGCTGCTCGAACTGAACCTCCAGCACCTACGGTGAAGGGACGAAACTGTTTTAAGGAAACTGTGCACGCACAGGCCTCGATTTGAAATCTGCTGCAGTTTGTGTTTTCTTTCTGCAGATTTATTTCGTTGCAGTTCGTGTAGTTTCTTTGCAGATTCAATTTATCCTTGCAGTTTCAGTTTCCATTTATTTCTGCAGATTATTTTCACATTACTATTTAATTCGGGCAGTTTGTAGTTCCATAGTGTGCAGCTTCCAGATTCATCGTTTACAGTTTTAACCTGCAGTTAACTTATAATTCTGATTTTGTGTTGCTAAAAAATTTCTTTTTTAACCATTGAAAAAATTCTGAAACGGAATTTTTTTAATAAATTGAAATCGTTTGCCTTATGGTTATTAATTTCAATAGTCGGCTATTGCAATTGAATAAAACTTATACAATTGATTTCATCCACTAGCGACTTATTTTCCTACAAGCTTAAGACAGTTTCGAAATTCGAAAAATAAGAGTTGGTTTTGGTTTAACTGAATTTTGGTTTTTTGGAACTAATATTTGGTTTATTTTCAGAAATGGCAACCGAATCGAACAACATGGATGTGACCCAAAATGTTCCCGCTGAAAATCAGGCTGTGGGTTCTAATGTGGCTCAAGGGCCAGTTTCGTTGAGGCTTAGACTGTGGCTAGAATGCCAAGTCATGTTGTGAGCCAAATTGGCCAAACTGTAACTGTTCCGGTTAATCATGGAGAAAAATCGGAGAAATTCAATGGCTTGAATTTCAAAAGATGGCAACAGAAAATGCTTTTTTACTTGACCACCTTGAATCTTGCGAGGTTCTTGACTGAAACAGCTCCAAAGCTTAATGAGGGCGAGGGAGATGTGCAAGTATTGAGTGCACTTGATGTTTAGAAGCATTCGAACTTTCTGTGCCGAAATTATATCATAAATAGCCTAGCAGATGCGCTGTACAATGTGTATAGCACCATGAAAACTGTTAAGAAATTGTGGGAGTCCTTGGACCGGAAATACAAAACTGAGGATGCCGGGGCTAAAAAGTTTATAGTCGGCAAATTCCTAAACTATAAGATGGTGGACTCCAAAACTATTATCAGTCAAGTGCAAGAACTCCAAGTGATCCTTCACGAAATTC